ATATACAAGCACAGTTCTCCAGAATGGACCTTTGTAATAAGATTAAATATTTTCCAATAGAATAGTTAATCAATTATGTTAAAAGTAGAAATATGACAAATATTTACCTGAACCAGTAAATTCATATAAATAGGTGATAAACAACGCAAATATAAAAATAGGTATTAATCGTAGATATCTATCAAAAATTTAAGAAATAATAGTAAGTTACCCTCTATTTTAATTTTATATAATAATACACATTACCTGAAAATTAAATAATTAAAATAATTAAACTGTCCATTACTTTTGTCGAGTTTTGATAGCATTGTATTACACAATATAAAACCTAATTAACAACCAAATTATTCTAATTAATTACTAATAATCAATACAACAAATTAAAAACCTGTGATTATCATAAAGTTATCCATAGCCAGTATATTTGGAAAAATCATATTTCTATAATCGTGAATCATTTTATAAGAAGAGCTGAGAAAAAAGTTTTTGGTGTTCAGGGCTAGACATCCAAACTCATAGGTGTGAGCGATAACTATCCAAATGGTAAGGCAGGCCCGGTATCCGTCCAATGCCTTGAATTTTCCGTATTGTTTGAGACTAAACATAGATTTGGCACTATTTCTGGCGGCAAAACAATTTACTACAAATGCAATTGAAGTCCCTTTTATTAATCGTTTAATAAATGATCCAGGAGGTAGACAATCAATAAAAGTGCTCAACACAAACGTGATCACAACAGCACTGATGGCCACACTATATAAATAAAAAATATGTTTAAAGATAAGTTATCAAACTTTAAATTGTTAATACACTGAGATTATTTGATATTTATTGAGTTTAATAGGTTTTCCCAAATAATCGCAGTCGTCGTCTAAAATGATCGGAATTCGAGTAATTGGATACGAGACTGAAGTATAGATTGATTTCATGAGTATAACAGACATATATTAACATTAAAGCAAAAGCTTACATTCGGTGAGGGCTGCGGACACATCGCTAGCCTTACAAGTTGTGGGCAAACAAAGTCCGTTCATTAGTTTAATGTTATCAAACAACTGGTTATCAATGAACTCAATGCCTTCCGAGAGATCATTGGGTGTCATACGATAGATAACTTTCCTGTAGTTCTCAAAGAATTGATTGAAAAAGTTTTTGTAATTGAAAGCAGTGTTTTGGGGCAACTTCTGACCAATGTTTTCCAGATATTCCCGGGGCACTGAATGGGGACTTGTATCCATATTGTCCCTGATATTCATTCCACAGTATTGTCCAAAGATTTTAGGTTTATCTTCTTCATCGGGACTTTCAATATTCACACACTCGTCGTAATTACCAAATGAGGGCCCACTCATGTCTACCATTCCTGATGGGGGTCGGGGCTGCGCGTCAAAGACTTAAAGTTTGGACATTTTGTAGAATTTAGTAATTTATTGTGTAATAAAATTGTAGTCGAGGTATAACTTACACTTAAGGGCCCAAACCTCTCCATTTCTGGCGGCACTCATAATCCTCATGAGAGATGTCATGCAATTTGGCTCCAAATTAATTGTCATCAATGCTTCTGACATACGATTTGTGATCCGTTTATTAAATTCACTCATTTTTCTGCTTATATTTTGACCAAAAACTTGCAATCGATTCATAGCTTCCAGAGTCTCATTGAGAGTACCCATAGATGTCTTTATATTAGCCTTTCCCTCCTCGTAGTCGTCGGGAATAAATATATNTTGAGAGTACCCATAGATGTCTTTATATTAGCCTTTCCCTCCTCGTAGTCGTCGGGAATAAATATATCAACAAATCTATCGATAATCTTATCTTCTGAACAGTGATCGCCATCAGAAGTACTGTAAAAATCATCTTTTGATACATCACTACTATTGACAGGATAGTCATAATCATCAGAATCTATACCATAAATATTTTTACTTAAGAATAATATTATTAATAACCAATAATTAAAATTGATAATCATTTTGTGTCAATGTTCAGTTAATATTTCAAAATTGTTATCTGATTCACTTATTGTATTTAATACGACTTTAGATCGCTTTATACGACAATAAATAAATATATAGACAAATAATATGAATAGAAAACTTATTCTTGTGCAATGAAACATTAAAAAAATATTATTTTGGGTACTGACTTCTTTGCACCGCCTGCACCGCGTGCACCGCATGCACCGCTTGCACTGCTAGTACCTCTTGCACCCCTAGCACCTCTTTATTTCATTTTATTCATTATATTCATTAAGTTTTTATAAAAACAGCCAACACATTATATTTTCAATGAAAATGTTATTTTGTTAGATTAATTTTTATAAAATTAATTTTTAAGTTTGTAACGCTAATATTTAAATTTATAACTATTTAAAATATAGTGAGAAATAAATGAACTTACGGGATATAATATGAATATTATAAAGAATGAATATAATATAATTGCGTTATTTTCATTTTAATTAAAATCATATTTTACTTATGGTTCTTAGTTTACTTAATTTTATTTTACAAAGTTAATTATTTTAAGATTGATGTTTTGTACACGAGATGCAAGGGGTACTAGCGGTGCATGGGGTCCATGCCGTGCCAGCGGTGCATGCGGTGCACGCGGTACTAGCGGTGCAAGCGGTGCATGCAGTGCACGCGGTGCAAAGAAGTCAGTACCATTATTTTGCAATTGCTATAAAATATTAACAATACGGCACTCAATTTCTATTATTATAATAAATTAAATTTATTTCTTTAATTTTGCATACAATATTTTGAATAAGTATTTTAAAAAATTTATAGTAACTTGCGTAAAATCCGGACTCATAAAAGTATTCATACTAGGGTGGATTCCCATACATTGGATGTATAATACATGTGTATTATCCTATGTATTATCCATGTAGAATACATGACCCCTTTTACCATACATACATGAAATCCCGCCCCTATTGAGAAAACTGTCAAATTTCTAATTATTTTCAATATGATTCAAATATAAATATTGTAAATATTGTTTGAAAATCAAAATTATTATTGTAATTAATTTTATTTGATTAAAAATTAGTAAAAGTTAATCAAAATCATGTGTTTAGGGAAACTTTCTCAAAATGGATGAAAAGAATTCTTTAAATCTTTAAAACAAAAATATCAAAAACTGAGCTGGATTGAAAATTAAACTTGCTAAACATTTCAGAAGTTTATTCTTGATTAGTCTTATATTCAATTTAGTGA